CTAAAGCTCATATAGGCATACTGATGAGGAGCACTATGGAAAAGCTAGGCACTGAGACCAGACGGCAACAGACTGACAAAGAGAATAAAATCAAGTTAGAAGCTTAACCACTTTCTAATCAAATCAATCATTAAATGATCAAGGAAACATCTAATTTTAATTGAAATAAAGATATTTTTATTACAAGACAGAAATAGAGAATTTCATTCAATGCTGTCTATGCTAGTACTGAAGAAATCCTCTGCTTACCAACAGCAGATGAGAAGCCTTACCCAGCATTAAGGCACAACCCTTTAAACACCGTAAGAATACAAATAAGCAAACCATGCATCGCTGCAGAAAAGCTGTTATTCTAGATGTCAGCTTGTGTTTTTGCTAACAGATCTATGTGTGAGCCACAAAGTAAATGGATGCAATGAAGGTTATAGACAGAATTCAGCGACTCTTCTGCTGATTGGCAGGACTGAACAACAAAAGGCAAACTGAAGATTTTCAAGTGCTATTTTAACTGCTATTAGTCAGCATCTAAATGAACAATGACCATTTAAGAGGACTAAAATCAGAAGTACTATGTTCAAAAGCAGAGAAAGAAGAGAGTCAGAGAGAACTGAAGCATGAGGTAAACATGAAAAGAATCTACTTGGATTTTAAAAATCCATCTCAACTAGTCACTTCTTTATATTTGATCCAATTACCACTTCTCTTCAGCAATGCTGAGAATCTAAGGATGCAGAGAGAGGATATTATCTCTACAGAAACAGCAAAAGCATTTGAGTTCTTATTAGAATCAGCAAAAAGGAACAGGTTTTATTATAAGCCCACACTTGGCACAGCTGCTCTATGCCTGTGACCTGGCAAGAGTCATCTTTCAGCAGCCTAATACCCTCAGTTGCTCATGGCTTTAGATCACAGCTAAGGTTTAAAAGTATTAAAAGCATTACTTTTTGTAAAGTTTTACTATTCCATGTCACACGAGACAATTTCTGTATGTCCCTTCTAAGTCTGTGGGTACTTCCCATTTGACAAACAGATCACTTTAGAAACACAGTTTAATGGCCAGCATATTATTTATTTTTAAATAACGTGCGATACTGATGTATGGTAGAAATGAGAGAGGTTTCTCTTCCACTCTCACATTTCTCAGGATAGTTCTGCATCTCAAGTCATCAGTTGTGCCCCACTCATTACTCAGAGAGAGGGAGTAGATGGGAAAAAGCAGTAGAAGACACCTATTTAAAGTTCATATTACATAAGCTTTATTGCCTAATAAATACTTAAGTACCAGAGGAGAACAGGCATCTTAATTTATGGTCTTTAAGGATTCCCTGGAGAGAGATGAAGAGAAAAAAGACCTGAACTGATAGCTAGATTGCCAAGTTCCTCCTGAGGAGGCTCTCTGGCATTGAACACCAACTTTGTGACAGGCTCAGGAGTGCAAACTGAAGCTCAACCAGCATTCCAATCAGCATAAGATAGTTCGGATGGCTGCTCACATCCTTAGCTTAAGCTTGATGGAAAAAAAAATCTTTCTGACTGAGGGAAAAAAGGGAATGTTGTTCTAGTGGGACCTGTAGTAAGAGGTACTCAGGGTACCTAATTCTAGCCATCTTAACCAGTACATTTCAACTATCATAACAAGGAAGATAGGTATGCTGCACTGAGCCTTACAGAGGAAGAGAAAAAACTAAAAGATCCTTAGGATTTTTCAGAAAGCCACAGCCAAGATCAACTTTATACTTGAAAATGTGAGTTCTCTCAACTTTCAGAGAGTACAAAACTTAGGGGCATTTTGAATTGACAGAAATATCTACATTTGTTTTATAAAAATCCTAAATTAGATCTCCCTAAAGATGACTTCTCTTACTGAAGTTCTCTTTCCTAGTGTATCTCTAACTGTATTTATCCCTATATAACTTATCCCACAATTAGAAATACTATTTCTCTGTAGTTGAGATTTTAATCCTGCAAATTTCACCCTATAGGGCAGGTGAAAATGATTCTTTTTTCTCCTTTAACTTCCTCCCAACAAATTTCATTTTATGCTCATACTACTCTCCAAACCCCTTAATTCAAAAGAATTGTTACTTAGACCCTCTGACTCCACCACTAAAACAGGTTTTGTTTTGACATTCAAGAGCTGTTCTAACAACTCAAAGCTGGAGGCAGATTCAGCCATCAGTCATTAAGCCTCCAACTTTTCTTTTCATTTCCACCACAACATCTTCAAGAAAGAAGCAAAAAAGTTGTTACTCAAAAGCAGTCATGAGCTAGAACACCTCAAGAGATGTTAGAGCGAAATTCAAGATTGTTCTTGCTTGAATTAAAATCAAAAGGACTAAGAACTTCACAAAAAAACCTCTTCAGCATGCCAAGCAACAGATATTTCTAAAAAGTCAACTATTTCACCTCTCTCCTTACCTTCAGAGGCATGACTTCTAGCACAGAAAATTCTTTACTCTCAGAGATCCCGACAGTTAAGCCTGATCCATCATGACATTCTTACAGGTTAAAAAAGGCTACATAATACTAGTCATAAGTCAAATTGAAAACAGAGGAAAGGGTCAAAAACTCACTATCACTTTCACCTTTGGTTTAGTTCAAGAACAGACAACTAAAGGCAGCGTGACAGCCAGCATTACCCAAAGACCTGCGCTACCTGGATTTCCTTTCATTTCGCCATACTTAAAGACAAAAATGCTTGGGTTTTAATACTAAAAAAAACAGAAGTTAACACAAACTTAACACTTTTGGGGAGTTATAAAATACTTTTTATAGTATATAAAATGCTTTTTTTTTTTTTTTTTTTTTAGAGGACACTAGGAGTACTGTCCCAAAAGTATCTGTTACAAGCAAAAATAACAGTCTGTACATGCAGTAACTCCACCTTTGGTTTCATTAATGAACCTTCATTTCAAAAGCATTGTTCTATATGAGATTGTAACTGTTTGCAAGGAGAAATCTTTTTTTTTTTTTTTTTTTTTAAATGAACCAATCTTCCAACAGATATGTCCTCAGACACTTCAGACTGTAAGTGGTATATATTAAAAACAATAATAATAATAATAATACACAATGCTTCAGCTCTCACTGGAGTGACTTTAGAGCATGAACTGAATAGCACACCTACAATCTTTGGGAGTACATTCCTAGAAGACTTCACAGGAATACACAGACGGTAAGGCTGAAAGGAAGAGCTGCTGGTTTAACTAGGTGCCTAAAGACTTTATATCTAAAAATGAAGAGCTTCAAATTTGGAATATCATCAGTTGCATGAGGAACTCACGCTGATACTACTGTGGCAGCATCAAATGGACAAAAGAGCAGGATTTTATGATCACAAAGGACAGAAAAGTTTTCCCACCGCTTATTGGTTGCATGTTTTTCCCGTTTCTGAAACTGCAGTGCCTCACACATCACAGCCTGCCCCAAGCAAACAAATCCCCCTGCCACAGAATTCCTGCAAGAGATTCTGAAGTTTACACTTGGCCGTATGCATGGGGTAACATTTGCCTGCCATGCCACCTTTATTTTGCTTCAAATGATTAACTCACACTGAAAAGAATACAGCCTAAGCACTAAAAGAAAAAGAAAAAAAAAAAGCAGTTGCCCATTTCCCAAAAGCCAAAGCCTGGTGGGTCATCCAGCTGTATTTGATATATACAGGTTTCTTCAATAAACAGAAATACACTTAACATACAGAGGTCTCCAAGTTACTATACCCTTTTTCTACAGGATATTGTAGAATGGCACTTTCTACTACATTTCAAGCTGTACATTCTGCTAAATTGTCCTTCAGCAGAAACATTTCCAGTACATCGGAAAAGGTAAGGTTCAGTTGACAAGATGTGACCATTTTATCACTAAGTATTATAGAACTACCTCATCAGAAAATTCCTCAGATTTATTCTTCAGAGAAATAAAAATACAAAAATAAAAACCCCGGTCAAAATAATAAAAAAAAATACAGAAGAGAGCTGAAGTGTGGTTTGTGTGTCAACTCTCACGCTTGCTTTTGTGTGGGATGCCAATCCAAAACGTTTTGCTAATTGAAAGCGATCCAGCACACACGCCACCTCTGATCTGCAGCACCTGGACACACTGGCTTGTGGGGCTGGAGAGCAGGGCCCGTGTTTCCTAACGCTGTCACTTCTGCTTGCGAGAGCCAGGATGGACAAAAATAGCCCACACTGGAAACATGGCGGCTTGCTGCAAATGCTGCTGGCACCCAAGTGCAGGCACTTGCTTTGTCAGAAATACTCACCACGTGCAAGCCTTGACGTGGAAGGACACAGGGAAGCCCGTTACGGGTTAGTAACACACAATTCCAGGCAGATCAGGGCTAAAAATGCACGTGAAAGATGCCTGAACGCCTCACCTACAGCCCTCTCCTAATAAACCCAACTAGCGCCTTACAAGAGCCCGGGATTTCCTCCTAAACGCGCCGCCTGGAATTTAAACCCTGCCGTAACCCCAGAAGCGGCCAAGGTCACGCCGTGTATCACGGATGAGCCACCCACTCGCTTTCCGCTCCAGCCCCGTCTCCCTCCCCGGGGCCGGCACGAGGGGCCCGCTGGCCGCGGCCGATGCGGAGGCAGCCGCGCCCGCGCGGAGC